AAAAAAAAAAAAAGAAACAGTCATGCCATTATAACAAGGAAGGAATGCACCAGTGAGACAGAATCAAGATTGGTGAGAAGCTGTGGAGATAGATTTCCTGTTGTCAACGTGGGAGGTATGGTTTGGACACTCATGTCAAAGAATTACTACCACTACAAAAGACATAAAGTTTACAGCAGAGGTCACCATTACTCCTGTCTTTTTACATATGCTTTCTGAACATTAAACATTCAGTTCCTGCATAATGATTAAATGACTCTTTGGTTTCAGCCAATCACTAGTCCTGGTAGCAGTGGAATGCCATGTGTGCATAGCTTATAAAATCTTAGAAGCAGGGCATATGCTTGGAGATTTGAGAAAGTGTTCTTTTCTATTCCACATAGAAGATGTTTATTCACATAAGATGAAATATATATATATATTCCTAGATTTCTTCATAATATGACCTAAAGCTATCTGAACAATTAACAGAATGGCTACTACATGGATCACATTCTTCTAACAGAAGTTACATGAGTAGTTGGTAGACTATTGCAGATTTAGGGAAAATAATGTGATTCAGAGAGTACAAAAACAAACCCCATTAAAATGTGGGAAGCCGAGGTTGAGTAGACCCAGTGACCTGAGTTCAGTGCCCAGAACGCATGTGGTAGACAGAAACAACTCTGACAAATTTCCCTCTGACCACATGCGTACATGCACCTGGGCATATACACATGTGTGTGAACACACATACACACAAAATCAATAAATATACAGAAAATTCAGGAATGTGACACTCTTTGAAGTCTTTTACAGAGACAGAGCTAAGGGCCATATCTGAATAATCCTTCCAACTTGGTATTTCATCTCCCCTAAAATGAACTGCAATGATCTTTAAATTTGACCTTATATGATCAAGAGACAGATCTAATAATTTTTTGTTTAATTTTACATGTTTTTTAATAATTATCATCCTTGTTTCTGAGTTGCCTGTTTCTTCCTTTATATAACTACTTACCTATTTTTATTGTTATGATTTTTAATTTGAAGTTATCTTTATCATGGATGTGGTTTAATTGATAAAATATGTATAAAGATAATTTCTGCCATTTGCTATTTTCTTTTTTAATTTATTTGTAGTATTGTGAACAGTTATCATTTGTTTTTTTATGCTTGAATTTTAAAAGTATGCTTTTAAAAGTATATCATACAAACATTGCAAATATTGACTTCTAGTAATCTTTTAGTATAAACTCATATTTATGTTCCCTATCCAACTCTATATAATTTTACAATGCCAGACATATCACAAAATACAAAGGAAGCAGATAAGTAATTAAAAGCCCCCAAGTTTTCAGACAAACTACACTACACAGTGACAGAACTAGGGTCTTCCAACAGCCTCTACCCACTCCAGTGTCCTTTTAAGAATAGACTAATGCACTGGCACTGAAGGCACAGCACTAACATAATGCGACCTTACCTGCCTACTGGAAAACGTTTCTTTGGCATCTTTCTCCTGAATGCCCTTTTCACTTCCTTGTTCCTCAGGCTGTAGATGAGGGGGTTCAGCATCGGGATCACCACAGTATAAAACAGGGAAATCATCTTATTGATGGTCAAGGAAAAGCTTGCACTGGGTCTAACATAGATAAAGAAAAGAGTTCCATACAGGATGGAAACAGCTGCCAGGTGAGAGGAACAAGTGGAGAAGGCTTTTTGTTTCCCTTCGACAGTTTGAATCTTCAAAATGGCCATCAAGATGCAGACATAGGAAACTATGATAATCAGACCACTGAACACTCCTATTGCTCCAGACAGGACAAAAAGGACAATCTTATTGATCCAGGTGTCAGCACATGCTAAGGAAAGCAGAGGGGAAACATCACAGAAGAAATGGTTGATGGTGTTTGGACCACAGAATGGTAAGCAAAATATCAAGGTTGTATGAGTTGTGATGTTTAAAATAGCAAAAGCATAAGGCCCTACAACCAGATACACACAGACCCTCTGGGACATAATGAGTGTATACAGCAAGGGCTTACAGATGGCTGTATACTGATCATATGCCATCACCGCCAGAAGGAAACATTCAGTTCCCACAAAAAGGCCAACAAACCACATCTGTGCAGTACAGCCCACTAAAGAGATGGCTTTGTTCTCTGCAAAGATGTCGCACAGCATCTTCGGGGCTATGGAAGAAGAGGAGCACACATCTACAAAGGACAGGTGGCTGAGAAAAAAGTACATAGGTGTGTGCAGCCTGGGGTCCATCCATATGAGAGTGATCATGCCCAGGTTACCCCCCAGGGTGACAAGATAAACAAAGAGAAAGATGACGAAGAGGACAATCTTCTGATGGAGATGATCGGTGAGGCCCAGGAAGAGAAACTCAGTCTTTGAGGTCTGATTCTTTTCTTCCATTGTCAGTCATCTTCTGCTGTGAGACAATTGTGTATTCTTTTACCACAAACTATCATTAACAGTTGCAAATGTTTTAATTCAATAACAGGTTTCCTTAAAGAGGTTTTTTAGCAGATTATTGGCCACTGTTATTGAACTAGAAGAGGATTTTTCTAGCTTCTGTGGACGGTTTCTATGTAAATACTTTGTAAGATGTTGGTGGATGGCCTTGGTTTCTATCGGTGCTGTAACATTTCCCACAAAAATTGCATGACTATGTGACCTAAAGCTCATTCAATAAAACTGCAGTTTAAAAGAGAATTTCTTTGTTTAGGAGTAATTATGCATGTTCATGCTCCTAAATATCTTTCCATAAAAAGAAAGAATGTACAAAGTCTTTAACAGATAGGTTGTGAAAAGCAGCTGATGTCATAAAAGGACATGAAACTTACCTAAGAGATGGAGGACTCGGATGTTGACAGTCATTTGCCACAGAAATTATGCAGAAAATCAACCATATAATAAGCTAAAATAATGTTGAATTGTGCCTTAATATTTCTGTTATTTTATATAAGATCCCCAGGTATACATTTTTAATCAATCAGCAACATTCCTGAAATGCTGAGTATGCCTCCTAGTCATGATAGTTTTGTGACTTTAATAAGAGCACTTGTAAAAGTTCTAGAAGAAGATTATGTAGAATAAGTATTAAAATAAAATTAGTTAATGTGCCATAATCAATTCATGTGCTCCCTAAATAAAAGAAATACAGTATTGAACTTATTAGTAATTTTTGTATATTAATATATAACACTTTCAAGTAGCTAACAGTTACTATATTTTTCAAACATTTTCCATAGTATAAAGTGATTGAAATTATTTAGATGATGTTAATTAGATGTTTTTTCAGCAATCACAAGCATTAATCTGGAATTTGGGGCTGGACTGTCACCCATTGCCGAGATGTTTGTGTTATGATTTATGTTGTGTTATGTTTGTTCTCACAAATAGCTATGTGAAGCAAAAGCCAGTGCAAGCACACATAGCATCTAGCTTTGGAGCAATCATTATGTATTTGATTGGTTTGTTTTTATTTATTCATTGCAAGTAATTCTGAACCATCCATAAAATAAGTTGCAAAATCTTTATGTCTTTCATATGCCTTTTCTGCTAGCATCTAGAAAGCCTTCTGTCTTGAAAAATTATTCATTTAAAACTGACAAAACTACATGCAATTTATATACAATGTATTGTTTTAAGATATGTATATATTATGGATAGGCACATCGATCCAATTATGTATCAGTCTTATTACATGTTTTTCTTGATAAAGACATGTCTAAAACTTTAAAGACACAGACAAGGTGATTCAGGTGCGTGCCTTTAATCCCAGCACTCAAGAGGCAGAGGCAGAGAGATTTCTGTGAATTCGAGGCTAGTCTGGTCTACAAGAACTAGTTCCAAGACAGGTCCCAAAGCTACAGAGAAACCATGTCTTGAAGACAAAAACCAAAAAAAAAAAAAAAAAAATGAAGAACACATAAAATCTCTTTGCAGTTTTCAAAACTACAATATATTGCTATTAAAAATATTTTGTTGAAATAAGAGCGGCGGGGCTGCGTCCCCAACACCCCGGCCGCTTGGCTAGCTTATGCCCGAAATAACAACACACAAACTGTATTCATTTAAGAACTGCTTGGCCCATGAACTCTAACCCTTACAGGCTAATTCTCGCACCTGGACTAGCCCATTTCTAATGATGTGTGTAAGCACCCCAAGGTGCGCTTACCGGGAAGATTCTAGCCTCCGTCCATGATGTCTCTGCTCCAGCTCGCAGAGTTGTCTGGTCTCTCTGGGAGTAGAGCAGAGTCTGACCTCACTTCCTCTTCCACCCAGCATCCTATCCTGTTTATTCAGCCCACCTATCTGTTAACCTATCAGGGCCAGCAGTTTCTTTATTGCTCAGGCAATGAAATCAACAGATTGATATATGACACTCCCACATCAATATTTAAATTATTTAAAATCAGGAAATTCTTCCATACTTGTTCAGGCTTGTGGGACTTTGTGTTTCCAAAGTTTAAGCTGTTACTGGTCTTTCTCCCCCACATTTCATCACCTTCTTAGTGTTCAGCCTCCAATGCACTCACTTCTTTAAGGAGCTCCTTTCTGCATATCCTTTTGCCACTTCAAAGTCAGTGACCATCCTTTGAATAAGGAAGAAAGAGTCTTCAGCCTACATGGTGAAAACCTTCCTGCAAAGCATGGCTTCATAAGTTCTCAGTGAAGAGGATGAACTGCCCATGCTGATGGCCCTGGCCATGAAGAGAGAATTCCTGGGCGATTGTTCACCCACTCACTGCACAGAATAAAGAATCTCCTCTGGAGCTACCAATAACTGAGAGTCATGTCCCTGAAGAACTTGGCCTCAAGAGCTTACACCTGAAGGGACAAAATTAACATTGTCTCAGCAGCATCAGGGCCAGTGTTAATTTCTAACAGTATTCCATTCTTAATGAAACACGCAATTTCTCTCTCTCTCTCTCTCTCTCTCTCTCTCTCTCTCTCTCTCTCTCCTCTATTATCTTTTATTATGTCTTCCCCTCTTTCCTTTCACACATTCTTAATAGTCTCCTCTACTATCATACCTTATCTTTCCCCAAAGATTCAATGAACTCGTAGAAGAACCCTATCTTCTATCAGCAGAGATTAATGCCATAAATAGTCATTCACTTGGCCTGAAGTAATTTTCTGTCTTCATTCTGAAGCCAGACTATATAGGCAGAAATACTGAAGCCATGGTTTACACGCTGTCACATTCAATAGGATTCTAATTGTGTCTCAGTCTTCCTCTAGTGGTTTGTTGCTTCCTTGGGTGCTAGTATGCTCACTGAAGGCATAAATTTAGAGCATCCAACATAGACTAACACAACACTCTCTGATGTATTCATTTTTATAAGGTCATCTAAAAATATATAAATAAGGGACACAGAGCCTGAACTGA